TTGAGTAATGTTATTGGTTGGTAATGCCTAATGTTTAAATTTGTATACAAAAAGTGCTATATTGTATGTTGTAAATTGTATATATAACTTTTTGGGATTTAGAATTATTATCGGTACAAATGTAAGAGTTGTCTCTCTTTTTTGTTTAGGATTTTTGTATCTTTATAATTTTTTTGTACAATAAGTAAGTCCACAAGATATTTATTTTTTGTCACCTATATTTTCTTTTCGTTGTCCTAAACGTGTTGCATTGGCACTCGGGATTTTATTGATTCATGTAATGGGAATATTTTTAAAAGTATAATTGTTAGAAAATTACTCCGGGTTTTTTTGTGTTTTGTTCATCAATATTGACATTGATATTATTTTGTATGTGTAATATTTATAATAAACATTGTTGCATCAAATAATATGTATTTTGTTTCATTTTGTTCAATTGAAATAAAAATCCAAAAATTAAATCGAAATATCATGATTTCCCAAAAAATCTGAAGAAACTCACGCAAGGTATGGGTTATTGTTTAGAAATGATTTGCTTTTGCAATAGCGATGCCATAGAAAAAAAGTAATGCCTCATTACATTTTTAGGCAGAGGGACGGGGATCCTTAAGTGCATTCCTGAATGTTTATTTGAAGATATAACGGACTCCAGACATGTTGACTTTGGAGTACACGTTTTAGGTTCCTAAAAGGTATTGTTATTACCGCAGCTATTTGACACGAATTGGAGTTGTATGTATGATAAATAGTCCTGAAGGGGTCTCGTACGCTAGCTAGATAACCAACAAATGGATCAGGTTACATCGGGATTTAAATAGCAAGTGAACATTATTTGAGTGTTTTCATTAACTTTAAATGAATTCTGTGTGTTACATGATTTGTTTTTGTGTAGTTAGACAGGTAAGTAGTAACGCAAAACTATAAAGAAGAAATTATGTGCATGCATTTAAAAATATTTCTGTCTGATTTATTGAATACCTGCTGTATTGTTTTGGAACAATCTAAGATTCTAAAAGTGCTGGTATTGTTTTGAAACAGTTAAATTGAACATGAAACAAAGTCATTCTAGACGGAGCACAATTCAACTAATGATAATATTAGACCACGTGAGGTAAGTCTTCTTTCTCTGTATGTTAGTGATTGCACGTTACAAATTGACGTACATGTATTGCCATATTTATACGGAGTGATATCGATCGAAATCGATAAAAAGGAAAATATGTGAAAAAATGACACAACAATGTTGATGATATTGAATTTATTTATACAAAGTACAGGCAAAATTGTCGTTTATGGTACAAATGATAAGTGTTGCTTGATAGATTAAAATATTCTTCATTCCTTTGTGATGTTGACAGAGAAATCTTAAACCGAAGGTCAATTTTTTGAAGTGAATTCGAGACATTGCCAAATACTCAACTTAAAAAACCTTTTCCCGAAGGAAATTAATTACATTTTTCTCGCACTAGCCTACCATCAATGTAACATGAAAAGTTGGAACAAATTTACCTCACAAAGTCCTTTCAGGGACGCATGGCATTTGTGACAAAATTGATGACACTTCCCTTGTGATGGACTGCATAAGGTGATGATGGCACGATGTTAACGTGTTCAGAACAATAGGGCGTACTATCTATAGATCAATAAAAGATTTTCTATCATGCATGTGCTCATAAGACACAACTGTCTATGCAATTTCACAATTTCACGTGCTAGTCCTCACAAAAGGACAACAACGACGTGACGTCACGAAATCGGGACCATGACGTTGCAGCGATGCCGAAATTGCAACGCCCTTTTAGGATTTCTGAACTAATTCTGGTTATTAGAATGAGAGAAAATCACTCTTCCATGCCAGGATTGTAGAATAGCGAAATCCCATCCTCACAACTTTCTAATTGGCGTAAAATCCTTTTTCAAAACCTTTGGTCGAATTTTCCTACCCTACACCCTGGCATGAAAGGGTCTTGTTATTTATACCCCAGAAAAAAATGAACATGCAACTGTAATGGGTAGAAGTATTTATTCAGGTACCATACTGGTCATGCCAATCCTTTCCTTCACTGTTCTTAAACATATGATGGGATAACAGCACTACATCGTAGGCGTTCTCATGCAGGTTTTAAAAAATCTTAAAAGCATCTCATCCAATTTACACAAGACAATTTTCAAGTATATTTTCAAAAAGATCGAAACTAAAAATGGAAAACGTAACACATTATGTATAAGGGTAAAAGTGGGTAAATGAGTTATCTACTTCTGAAAAGTTGCATTAAAAACAACAAGTTAACGATTTGAAAAGGTAATCATACATTCATGAACTGGCCCCTAACAGGGTGATTGTACATCAAAATTAAATATTGGGCACGTGACAATTTTGTTAGTTCTAAATAATGCATTTTGAAAATAGAATTATGAGAAAAATTCGTTATGATAAATATTTGTTATTTCTTAGGCATGAATGACAGTAATATAAAACAAATATCTCTAACATTTCAAAGTAAGAATATTCAAATAATCGAATACATGTATAAATTTGAGAATTATTTTGAAGACATGGTTAAATAATGAGCTAGTGCATTGGTTAACATTCATCATGATAACATACCGTCAGATTATGTTGTTAAATAGAACATGTTTAAATATAACATGTTTGAGTCTGGTGTAGAGGGTACGAAATCCTGTACCAGACATCTATCATTAAATATCGTTAAACATTTGTAGGAGCATCTATTTTCCTATTTATTATCAGTAAAATATATAATGAACTCATGTGTGACGGCAACCACTAAAAAATTCTTTTTTCTTCCTACCTTTGAGACAAAATGTTTTTATTTTACATAAATCAAGAAATAATATGAAAAAACCCTTCAAAAACGTCAACATGCCACCATATATTTGCAGAAGCTTTGTCATTATATTTTATTGCAACATAAGCACGTTTAATGACGTAAATACATAAACATACAGAAAACATAAAACGGATACGTCACAGAAACTTTATATTCTTATTTATATTCAAATTCTTATATATCTTATTCCACGCATCTAAACCGAAATCAGAATAGTTGAAGAAACTATGTAAGTAGCAATTATCGAATTAGATTTCATCGCCACATCCGATTTTTTCGTCGAACGCTGTCTTGATATCCATCGTGTTTGTTATTTTCAGCATTGTCATGTTATTTGAATATGATATTTTGCAGAATGCTTTAAGAGCGAAATTTGTTACTTAGACCGAAGGAATTTGGTTCAATTCGTGCGATGTTGTTGTTGCCGAGATACAGATTACGTAAATGTTTTAAGTTTTGGAATGTTGTTTTTCGTATTATTTCCAGATTATTGTGTGTTAAATAGAGGGAGTCCAGATTGGAGAGGCAGTTAATTTCGTCAAGGTTTTCTATATCGTTGTTGTCAAGTACTATTTCCACAATTGACGGAAAACTGCATATATTAATTCCTTTCTTTGTATTGCTTGTGATTATCTATTTTCATTAATTTTGCCTGAATTATTTCCATGTAGAAAAGAGTTGTATTACAGCAAAACAATAAATCAGAGAGCATCTGTATTCATTATCGGATGTTTCTGATGTTATTATTAAATCCTGTCAATTTTTTAATCTGCTATCATAGCGCGCACCATTCAATATGTAGGTAAGCCAATGTATGTTACACACCAATGCATGTCAAAAATATGACAACCAATCCTTAAATAAAGATTGAAATGCAAACTTTAAAATGCAACAAAGACTCAAAGTAGGAAGACAAGACTTCAAAACTTTGTATAAAAATGATATGCTAAGCTGATCCTACTTTAACAACTGGCCCCTGTCTGACAATGTTGTACATTTAACTTGATAATGTAACACATACATATTGAATTTATTCTTAACTTCCTGTTTTGTAATTAATTATGTATGCTAGTTAACTTTATGACAAGTATTTGGTTATTTTTCTTTACATGCGCTATAGTAATCTATATAATAACAATTCTAGCATGTTGGCACGTGTTACATAGAAATGAATTGATTATGAATTTAACACGTTGTATCCATATTACAAAAGGCATTATAATTCAACAAATATCAGTTAGAGAATAGTTTTCATAGCATCGTTTAACGAGAACAACTGTTAAGGTATATTTTTACAACGATATCATTTATAATGAAACAACTCATAGTGACACAGCTACCGTTCTGTACTAATAATATCCAATTATATTTTTGAATGAAACATCTATGGTAGCGTTCATTTAAATGTCTCATTAACAAATATAATTACATATTCTAAACTTCCTGGTTTGTAATAAATTATGTATGCAAGTTCAATTTTGGGTAATTATTCGGTTATTTTTTATACAGGAGCTCCAGTATTGTAAACAATAATATTTCTAGCATGTTGGCACGTGTTACATGAATTTATTGTATCACTATTATAAACGACATTCAAGAGTTACGAATACAAGATCGGGAATCATTTTCATTGCATCGTTTAACGAGTTTAACTGTTAAGATAAAGTTTTTACAGCGATACTTTTTTTTATAATGAAACAACTCATAGTGAAATTGCTAATATTTTGAAGTAAAAACATCTGATAATATTTTTAAATGAAACGTATATGGTAACGCTCATATAACGCCTCATTAAACGAATACAGTAACGTTATATATTGACGGTACAGAATGGTACATTTCAATATGTCATTGTAATTCTCCGACAACATCTATTTTAACATATGGATAAAATTATCATATGATGAAAAATCCCTAGTAAAACTGTCAACATACCAACTTATATTAAAGAGTGCACTGAAGATTTTTTTCATCACGATCCTATACAACATGAAGTCGTTTAACGACCTAAATGCACAAATATAAATAATACGGATACGACATAGAACCTTCATATTAACTTATGTTAGACACCTACTTTTCTCCATCGAATACATGTCTGGCATTAAAATCATACGGACATTGGGTAGGAAGTTCAACGGTATCGGCTTAGTTATCCTTTCCGCAAGGCGGAGACATTTTCCGTTCAATGATTTCCATGAGAAGGCCTTGCCGTTCTGTAAAATCTTCTATTTCACCAACTCGACAACATGCTTTCACCCAACGGTTTTTAATATCGCTGGCTGACAAGTTATCGAAGTTAATGATGATCAAATTCCGTCGCATGTCAGTTCTGTAGCGTCTCCATATTATGTTGAATTCAAATTGAGTGAATGTTTGTTGTGTTATTTCCGTTCCATCTCCATCTTGACTGAAATATTTTTCCGATAGAATGACGATAAAATTTCTACTCGTCTGTATTCTACTCCTGAGGTATTCGTCTCTAGCGACGGCGAGTTCAGCATCTCGTACAGGAATGAATAAGTTATGTCCGCGTGTTTCCAAATATTTGGCCAGGTTATTCAAAACCCACTTCCGCTGTTGGTCATCCTCGTCGTTAAATGATATATATGCATCATAGTCGAATTCCCGCGACCTCACTGTACGACGAAGTCTACGGCGATATATAATGTATATTTCATGAAACAAAAATAAACGCCCTATAATACATAATATGACAACAATTAGAAAACATGCAAGACTTCCCAGAATGATGTTCAGTTTTGAAGTGTCCGGGGAACAATGTAATGACGTAAAATCAGCCACTGTGATGTCTTTACCTCCCAAGTTCTGACATATGTATGAGGTGTGACTTTCATCTTCATGATAAAACGAAAGCCAAGTTTTCATCCACAGATCCTCACAGGAACACGTAATAAAAATACCTCCTAATGAAAGAAAAATGGGATTTCTGTTCTGAAAATGACGTGGTATTGATGACAATTTATTTCCTGTTGCATTCAGTTTTGCATCGTCGGGAAAAACTGATGCTGCGATTTCAGAGATGTGTGAGAGTGGATTTCCAGAAAGGTCTAGTTCCGCTACACGACTAAGGTAGGGTCTGAATTCCATCCGTTGAATATTATTTCCCGCCAGGAGTAGTTCCAATCTGTCCCCGTTTCCCCACGGCAGATTTTCCGGCATTGTTTGAAGATTCTGTCCCTGACAGTCAACAACAACCCGGTCGTGACTAGGTTGGTTAAAACAATGACACTTCCTAGGACAGGAGTCTGTAATGTTACATATCAGGAGATCCTGTTTTTCTGAATTTGTCTTGTAAATGTCAATCAACTTAGTACCGTTTAATTCGTCTGGTCTTTCACAAACATAATCTTTCATCTGCCTCCAAAATTTGTTCATGATTGCAATGGCAGTGCCGCCAGAAAACAGCTCGGCCATGTTACAGTCGCACGTCAGTTGATCACTGATAAAAGACAAGGAAAAATCCAAATTCTTATATATCTTATTCCACGCATCTAAACCGAAATCAGAATAGTTGAAGAAACTATGTAAGGAGCAATTTTCGAATTCGATTTCACCGCCACATCCGATTTTTTCGTCGAACGCTGTCTTGATATCCAGCTTGTTTGCGATTTTCAGCATTTTTCTGTTATTTGAATATGATATTTTGCAGAATGCTTTAAGAGCGAAATTTGTTACGTCAATAGATTCAAGTTGATTGCTGGAAACGTCAATATTAAGGATGTACTGACCGCCACTAAGACTGAAGGAATTTGGTTCAATACGTGCGATTTTGTTGTTGCCGAGATACAGATTACGTAAATGTTTTAAGTTTTGGAATGTTGTTTTCCGTATTATTTCCAGATTATTGTGGGTTAAGTAGAGGGAGTCCAGATTGGAGAGGCAGTTAATTCCGTCAAGGTTTTCTATCTCATTGTTGTCAAGTACTATTTCCACAATTGATGGATAACTGCATATATTCATTGGAAGTTTCCGTAAGCGTCCGTGAATGTGCGATAGCCTTGTATGGTTGTAATTTAAATCATTCCAATAAATGTAAACGATAGAAGATCCTCGGATATCTGTATATCTAACATGAAGGTTTACTACTTGGCCTTCAAGCTCCCATGATCGTTTGTTTTCGCATGCACAGCACTCGGTATCCTGACGACAACTGTCCGGACATAAGAGATCTGTCATGTTCTCCAGGCGCCAGGATGTGTAGGTCACGACACTTTCAACGGCTACCAAGTATGAGACAAGACACAATGAAATAATATTAGCGAAACCCATGCTGCTCATTTTTTGAATGCGTAGTCGTGTATTTTGACCATGGCTTATATATGATGCAGTACAGTAATTAGGCTGGCGTTAGGACAAGTATCTTGTTCAATTCTTTGTTTAAGAGTGGCCAACCAGGACAGGACAACAAATCATACCAACACATCATTATAAAGAAGGACGTCCTACTGTAATGCTGTGGATTTGTTATCTTAACACAATATTTCTCATCTCATAAAATCACGTTTAGAATTCCAGTATCATGCGAATAATATTTATAACAAGTCGTAGGCTGTAATATCTCTGCAAATTATGACTGATACTTCACTTGATTAATAATTAGTGTATATATACAAATCTACAGTATTTTGTTGTATTCGATGAGTAAACATTGCAATTTGCTTACAGAGTTGACTCTCTGTGATCACAGTGAACGGAATCTCTAAAATTTGAATGACAATAAACTGTAATAATACAGTAGATATTGTTATTTTAAAGACTGTTCGGACAATGAAATTAAATCTACTAAACCCCGTTTGCTTAAAGGTTTACTATTTTTATACAGTGACACCTTTTGTTCGCCGCCGCTATTTGAAACTAATTTAAATGGTTATATTATACATCTATAAGAGTATAAGAGTATGATAAAAACTGATAGAATCGTCTTGCTCTAGCTCGAGGTACAATAAAAGCATAATGTTACAACGTTTGTGATTTTAATTTACCTGCGAATACTATAAAATGGGGATTTCCTTTCTTTGTATTGCTTGTGATCATTTATTTTCATTAATTTTGCCTGAATTATTTTCGTGTAAAAAAGAGTTATCATTTGTGTATTACTGCAAAACAATAAATCAGAGAGCATCTGTATTCATTATTGGATGTTTCTGATGTTATTATTAAATCCTGTCAATTTTTTAATCTGCTATCATTGTCTGCAACAGTTAAATTGAACATGAAACGAATTCATTTTTATGCAATATATTTTAACTATGATAATATTTAACTACGTAGTCAGATTTAGGCTAATGTCATGATATATAAGGGATGACACTTGAACAATAGATGTAAAATTGTTGATGATATTGAATTTATTGATACAAAGTACCAGAATTCTTTAATAATGAACATAACCTTTTTTTGATATACTTTCATAAAGATTGAAATGCAAAGTTAAAATGCAACAAACACTCAAAGTAGGAAGACAAGACTTCAAAACTTTGTATAAAAATGATATGCTAAGCTGATCCTACTTTAACAACTGGCCCCTGTTTGACAATGTTGTACATTTAACTTGATAATGTAACACATACATATTGAAGTTATTCTTAACTTCCTGTTTTGTAATTAATTATGTATGCTAGTTAACTTTATGACAAGTATTTAGTGGGTTTTTTTACATGCGCTATAATAAGTTATATAATAACATTTCTAGCATGTTGGCACGTGTTACATAGCAATGAATTGATTATGGTTTTAACACGTTGTATCACTATTACAAAAGGCATTATAATTCAACAAATATCAGTTAAAGAATAGCTTTCATAGCATCGTTAAACGAGAACAACTGTTAAGGTATTGTTTTTTTACAACGATATCATTTATAATGAAACAATTCATAGTGACACAGCTATCGTTCTGTAATAATAATATCCAATTATATTTTTGAATGAAACATCTATGGTAGCGTCCATTTAAAGTCTCATTAACAAATATAATTACGTATTCTAAACTTCCTGTTTTGTAATAAATTATATATGCAAGTTCAATTTATGGTAATTATTCGGTCATTTTTATACAGGAGCTCCAGTAATGTAAACAATAACATTTCTAGCATGATGGCACGTGTTTAATGGTAAAGGAATGTTGTAATTTGAATGTATTGTATCACTATTAGAAGCGACATTCAATAACATCAACAATGGCACTCACACAGGAAAACTCAGTAAATACATGTTTGTCGAAATACAATACAGGAATTACAATTATCTCCTTTGTTCTTTTTCATTCATCCAATGGGTCTTGAACACACAATACTATGTTCTGTCAGCGCTACCTGGTATTGTTCATTTTTAGCTGACGTTTTCCTTCCTGGTATAAGTGAGGATATTTTGAGCTTCCTAACTGTATAATAAGGTCCTTTGTGTTGAGAAAATCAGGAAGTACGAAAGGAGGATTTCCTTCATGCTTCAGTTTCAATTTCTTCCTTTATACTTATAGAATTCCATTAGTACACACAGCGGACGCTTCAGGTGGAAAGCGTCATCGGGCGTAGTCTCTTTAAATGTAAATAATGGAAACTTGATAAATGGAAAATATGAACTGTATTAAGGTGGCTCCACGCATCGTCATCAGTGTCTATTTTCGTTACGTACTTATGGAAAAAGTACAGCACGGACTCAATTATCTCCATCGAAATGTGCATGTTCAACGTGTCGTCATTTCCGTATTGCGTATCAGGCATTTCAATATAGTAGTGCAAATTATAGTAACACCTGGTAAACAATAGTACACGTGCGTGACGATGATATCGAGATTTTACCGGTAAATATATAATCAGTAATCGCAGGTACTTCAGGGTTAAAGCTTACAATTCATAGACATAAAAAGACTCACGGGAACACTGACATGAGACAAGACGACCTCAAGAAGGTCACATATGAAACACATGGAATGCGGATCGATGTGATTTGTGTACCGACCTCACTTGTGCATATCACGTGCTGAGTTTACAAGCTCGAGGTCGTTACGATTTTCGCTGTTGAGGGAGTTTTGTTCTGTTGATTAAATCGTTTTAACAAATGCAGTCTACTTACTCTGTGAAAATAATGATTTGTAAAACATCAATATCCCTATGAAAATGCATGTGTGAATGCACGTGAGAACGGCACACCATGCGATAGCCTCTGGTCACATGTGTACCTGACATGTAAATATATACCGTGCGTTACCGGGCTGTGGAATGATGTCCAAAGTGTACATGGATGAGAGTAATTTGGTTCCATAATTAAAAAAAAAATATGATAATTTTGATATCATAATTTTGATTAAAACAGAGATAACTGTCATTGCGTAAATTTTATCCCCCTGCAAAAAGTTCCGATTTTATTCAAGGAAGATAACTCTCACCAGGATCAAAGTGATTCTAAAATATACAATAAATTATTTATAAAGCCATTGTGTATGTTTTGTTCAATTTCCCACTTTATATGTATCTATCTTTGTGTCCTGTTTGCTTTTAGCTTGTAGATCATCATTTTTATCAGTACAAATTCAATAAAAACCACTTTGTGTAACGTGTGTTATATATTTTAAGAAAAATAAAATATTTGTAAGGTTTATTAGCAATGCTTTTTTTCATTTTTTTTTATTTTTGTTGTTGTTGTTATTGTTCCGAACGATGCCACACAAAAAAAAACAAAAAAACGGAAAATAGTATAATTGACGAAAAGTCATTTTTTTGGTATTTTTTTCCAAAAAACCCCCCACACTATCGGAATGCTTAGATTTTTATAAAATCAACTCTACATAGTTGCATAACCATTAAATAAAAGTTTCAACGAATTTTGCTGGTTAATTCAACAGTGTGGAGCATCTTTAAAAGTAGTCGTGGTTAACGGTTTTTTATTGACACTTCGGTATCCTCTATAATTGCAGCTAATTTAGGCAGGAAAATAAGTCATGCTTAATGAAATAAAATTTCAACTGACGATAACAAAATACTAAATCCTTATTTGCTATAGAAGTGGTATCGATTCCATGATAGGTATCCTCTATCTTTGCAACATAATTTCAACGTCATATCGCCACAATTTGAATATCAAAAGGAATAATTAAGAAGCCTGTAGGTCTAAGTTTTAGGACATGTTTGTTCATTGATGTGTGTTAATTTATAGTGAATACGTTTTAAGCTATACACTTCTACCTGTTTGACATTGGCCTTAAGTCCGCATCAAAATTCGACCCATGTCGCTAGTTTCAAATTAAGAGACCAGAAGGAATAAGTTCGTTAACTAGCACCCAAAAAGTTGAGGGACTCCAGCTTTCGTATATCTGATTTCAGGAAAAGGCTACGGTCTCTCTGCAAATCTTCAAGAAAAGCTGACAAAAAGGCCTTTTTTGTACGAGACAAGCTTTACATAAATTGTCAGATATACGAGGAGCCCCAGTCAGGTCATGATACGCAGTACACGTCAGTTCCTCTGAACAACATTACCAACCCAGGAGGTGGCAAACAATATTCTCGTGGCAGAGGAAGAGATAACTATGTTTATCGGGGGAATCGCTACCAAAAGGATAATTTGGAGAATCTGGACCAGGAGTAAGTTTCGGTGGACTAAACACTAAGCTTAAATCAAATG